CTCAGCTCAGTCCAGTGGGACTGTCTCTAAATGAAGTCATGGTGTGGATGTTTGTACACATAGGGCCACCTGGGCCGCCTATAGGTGTCGTCTGAACTTGATTCAGATGGAAGTCAACAGATGGAATGCTTCTGGGCACTAAAATCTTTATGGGCACAATCACAAGATCATTATGGGCTGTCTGACCGCATGGCCTCAATCAATAATGCCGCACTCTTCTGAAATGAGTTGGAAGTGCATCAAACACACTCTTGTTCTTCACCTTCAGAAACAAAGCAGATGTAATTGGTTCAATTTGCGTTGCTGACAGTTCTCAGCAACGTCCAATTAGCTGGAGTGTGTGAGGTGCTAAAAAGATCTGTTGAAGTTTTGGTTACATTAACTCTGGTCAATTGATATTTCCCGGATAAATAAATCAGAGCTAACCATTCATTTGGTATTCAGTTGTTTATGATACACAGCAGTTTTTTAGCCTAAATGTCCAAGCTAATTTACATATTATGGGTTCAAAGCACACTCAAAACAGCCCAAGCCAATGATTTTTAACAGATGAAAATAAATTGAATTTTATTATGAATAAAATAGATGCACCAAAACAATTAAATATTTAATTCAATATTTAATGCAAAATTAGAAGAAATCCTCTCATAACAAATTAAATAAATAAAAAGAAACAAATCCCCATTATTCAAACTCATTTATTTGCACACCAAAAGCACCCCATAGGAGATTTGGGTAATTATTTTGCTTCTTAGAAGGAATTTCATTTTGTTTTAATTTCACTGTTTACTTTGCTCATGGGATATTTCATACTCCACTACATGCACACAGTCACACTATCAAAACCCTATTCTTCATCCAGTAATTGAATCTCCATAGGGTGTGCATTCAGATAACTAATGAGAACTAAATGTCAATCATGTTGTGCCAATACAGTGTCTGGTGGCGATTGGTATCTAGAGGAAGCAAGCGAGAGGAGTTGGTGTTCTACCAGTCTGAAATAAGAAATCAATAAATCGGTGACTCCTGGTCAGAATGATGCCTACCGTCATGCCCCATATCAACCCTGTGAATATATGTATATTTTAAGACATGTCAGTGCAAGTTGCTTTCAGTTAAGACAGCTCAAACATGCAGTTTAGTCTGGGACTAGGCTTAAGCCTTGTCTGTGAAACCGGCCATGAATTATTATATTTTAAATGTTTTTAAAAACTATTTTGAACAGTAATTTTGTCATCAGTATTTATTATTATTAGTATTAGTGTTATTATCATCCACGTCATCTTTTGAAAATCTTTATTTTGAACAGTCAGTCAAATTGCAATCAGTATATTTTACCGTTGGCCCTGTATGCTCATAATAATGGTTATAAGGAACAAAATGTACCTGACTGGCCCTGAAATTAAATATGAGACAACATAGGGCATCTGGCTATAGGCCAATGGAAAAGGTGCAGGACTGGCAGAGATAAGGATGACACTCCGTCTATCAATATGCACAGCATACTGTATTATCAGGTTTTTATTTTTATTTTAATCTTCAGAAACAAATATCTGAGACTAGTAATCATAATTTGTATTCTTAAAGGTGACCTATAATTCAAAATTGAAGTTACCTTGGTATAGTCAAATAACAAGAGTTCAGTGCATGGACATGACATAGAGTGAATCTCAAACTGGACTGTTTTCGGGTTCTCATTTAATTCACGTTTATGAAAAACACCCCTGAAAAACGGTCGGTTCTCCACACAATACCGACTGTGACGCAATAGTCGGGATCATTAATATGTACGCTTCCAAATATTTGCATAATGCCAGCCCTCAATGCCAGGCGGAACTGCGCAGCCGAAGCATGGCAGTTGCTCAGTGTGGATGTACACATGAACACAAAAGTATTTTTTAGTTCCTTCATCTGAGCCTTTGAAGAAACAATGGGTTAATTTTATTTTCTCTGGAAATTTCCAAACATTTCACCGAGTGTTTCCTCAACTTGGGCCAATACAGAGCTGGCCTCGGATCGAGCTGCCTACCAAGCAACACTTTCTGATGTGTAATTGTTCAAGTTCAGACAGGTAATCTTTCTCTCAAAATCGTTCAATACTGTTTATGCATCAGTAAGTCAAACCAGTGACTAAAATATCAGCTTCACATCGTTTCTTTTAGTAGGATGAAAATAATCGTATTTAAATTGTGAACAAATTATATACAGAAAGCGATCAGAGAACAATCTTTCCACACAGCGCGAGTTTATCTGGACACTTGCCAAACTCGTTATGAAATCAATGACGCACGTTACTGCACAACGAAGCTCTTACTGTATTTACATCATCGTGTTTGCATTGGTTAAAGCCTTAGAGAGAGTGCAGAAACTGCTTTGCAATGATAAGATCTTCATTCTCGCGATCAACAGACTGTCATCTGCTCAATGCTCATCACGGCAACATTTTATGTGATGGGAATAGATCTAAATACTTTAAAAACATCTCACGATTCGTTAATCTCGATAGCTGTTATAGTAAAAACGTATAATAGCAGTAGTAAAAGTATTCGGGAGAGAGTTTCACATGTAATGCGTTGCTATTTCATATGCAAGCATGTCAGCCAATCACAGCAGTGGCCGCGGTTACACTGAATCCCACAGCAGACACGGCCCTTCAAACAGAGTGTTCAAATCAGAGGCTAAAAGCAGGCTAGGAAAAATGCCATTTATTTCTAAATTATGATTATTTTTTATCTAAAAAACATACTAACATTATAAGGGTAACCCAGGAAACATTATAAAATAATAAAAAAAAACATTCTAGGGCACCTTTAAGGAGAAGATATAGGTCTTTGCAGTTTTTTAAGAAGCTCTGAATTGTAATTTATCATGTATTCTTCCCCAGAGCTATTTTTTTGCATCACAGAGTCACAGCGCAGCTCTGGAATAACTTCACGGGGACGACCAAAACAGTGTCAGCCCTGTGGTTTTTATTTTTTAAAAACATGTTGATGAATACAGTCTATACATTTATTGTTTTCTGGGGAGTATTTTCCCCTGCCTGATATTCAAGCATTCCCCTGGGGTTCTGAATATATACAAATTGATATTTTTACCCATTTTGGTAACACTTTATAACTTTCATTAAATCATTAACAAACATTATATAATGGTTAATGGATCATTAGTTAATTGCTATATATTCACAATCACATAGCAACAACATATGAGATAGTGTGCTTGTTGTTTATGAACTTACAATATACAATGATTACCAGATCATTACTCTAAGATGTCATTAACAAATAAGCTTTTAATCACTGTATGACATCTGTAAAAAAAAAAAAAAATTAAGTAAATAATAAATAATTAAGAAGTGCATCATCATATGAACTAAAAGTTTAATGACAATGCTAACACATCATTGAACTTCAATTCATTACCAAATGCCCTTTTTTACATTTACAAATGTATAAATGCAAAAAGGTGTTGGCCTAGACGGAAAATGTAACAATATAAGAATGGCTGGTCCCACTTTATAGTAGGCGACTTTAATTTTGTATTTGCGTCAAAAAAAGTATTGTGTTCATGTTCTATTCCAAAACACTTGCTGCTATGAGGTGTGATATGGGTAAGGTTAGGGACAGGTTTGGTGGTATGTGTATGTTTAAGGCTTGGTTAAGGGGTCAACAGTGTACAGGGTTCAATTAAGGGGACATGGTTCAAACTATTATATTATTGTTTTGATAAATGAACAGTGAAGTGAACATTATTGTGAAACATATTATATGTTTCCTCCTGTTGATGGATGATTCAAGGACTATCCATACAAAGTGTTGTGGTGATAAAAATTTGTTTTGCACCCAAATTACAATTTTTGTTGTTGTTTAGCAAGCATTTAGCAAAACTTAATAACCACCTTTACAGACAAGTTTAAAGAAATGTGTTAGCATTCGGATACATTAACAAATAAGATTTTAATCATTGTATAACATCTGTTTAAATCATTTGTAGATTTTTAAGAAATTCATATACGAATTTAAAATGTAATGACATTTGTAAGCATATCAATTTATATAAAATAATGATCTGTTAATCAATATGTAATGTTTAATAAGTTCATTAGTAAACATTAACAAACACATTATCACATGTTTCTATCTATGTGATATATTAGTTAATGAGCCGTTAAGTATTATATAAAGTTTGCTATTGATTTATTAATGAAAGTTATTATAAAGTGTTACCTGGCGTGTTGGTTCCCTTAAATACTTATTTGTATATTAACAAATTTTAACCGATTGTTTCCTTCAGCTAATTTTTGTTTTTCAGAACATGGAAATTTCCATCCATCCATCCATCCATATCCATTAAATAATATATTATTACAAAACAATAATATATTATACAATACATACATATTTTATAAATATATTTAAGTTAGTAAATAATAACATACATTTCATGACGTCAAAATAGTAAAATATAATACCTAAATGGATACAAATGAGAGCAGAACATTTGTAAAGAGAGACCATTGGTAATTTGTAATATGTTATACCAACCATTTAAATGGGACTAGAATTTATTTGGCAATAAGATGTACAACAGCTACAAGAACTCAACTGATTATATAGAAGATAAAGAAGCCAAAGAAGAAGACAGAAGCTAAATAATTCCTTGTCATCATTTTCTGTGTTATCTTGGACCAAAACCATTATGGAACCTTGTGCTCATACTGTGCTTTCATTGTCTTCTTTGGTTGGAGCAAGAATTTCTCATGAATTCATTTAGGCTTAAGATTTTCTATGTACGTTTAAATAAATAAATAGAAAGGTTAATTAAATAGTAATTCCAGGTGACTTTTAAGATATTTGTCAATATGGTTGTGTGCTCTGTATAAAGCCTGACAATCGTGCATATAGCCTACATAATGTGTGTGTGTGTGTATATCCATTAGCCTACAACATCATAAGACACAAACACACTTCGAAAAACAGGTGATTTGGTATTTGACTTACCTTTAGTGATTCCAAAGAGGAAGTTTTCGATTCAGCACGATTTCCCTGGATAAAAATTCCCTACACGGAATTCCCTGACGGAACTGTGAGAGTGCCGGAATGTCGGTGTTCGGAGCTGCGTGTGACTGCTGTAGTTTAATGCTTATGATGAGATGAGAGCGCGAGCGACTCATCTAGTGCGTGGGAGCCGCGCGCCGTGGTGCGCTTGGTGCTTAATGAGAGGGACGGGAGGCACTGTTTTAGAGAATTACTCAGCAACTACATCCATTGAGTCAAGTTTAACGTGAACACGACTCACGTCAAGATTTTCCTAACTTTATTTTCGACTAAATAAATAAATAATAAGATATATCAGGGGAAATTACTTTCCAAATAGTTTCCCAAGTAGCCTACATTTTACAGTGTATTTGAACACAGCGTGGTATACGATTGTAGTGATTATTGGGTCATGTGGAGGATGCTATCCAAGGTCCTCCAGGGTGGTTCAATAGACTATGATTCATTTTCAGCCAGGAAACCTTCTGCAATCTGGCTGTTATGTCACCGGCGAATCTCAGATAGTCAGACCTCAACAAGCAGAACAGATCCCACCAAATATCAGCACACTCAATAGATGACAGGGCTCATGCTTCATGACAGCCAGCGGTGAATATTATAAAAAATAAACCCTGGAAGGTCTAGAGCACATGATGGAGGTAATGCATTCTAAGATATGTGCATATTTACCCAAGAGTGAGATGGAGGGAAGATTGCATCTTAATAGAGGCAAACGAAACTGTGATTGGTCAGGATGTTTTGCTCACATCAAAAGTTTTGCAGCATGTTGAAAGAGAAAATGTATAGAGAATGGGAGGTCAGAAAGGCAGGGAATTGGATTTCTAATAAGGCAGGTAGCGAGATTGGGATCTGAACAGGAAGAGTGTCTGTAACAAGGCCAGGGCTTGCTTGAAAGAGGAAAAAATGAGAGCGAGACACAAAAAAGAGAGTGAAGGATATAAACCAGCATGAACAGGTGGGCTACGGAGGGAGGGGGGACGGGAAGCCTTTGTGATGATGCTCTCACACGGCTTGTCACTTTCCTCTCATTCTGTCAGTCTTTCCCCGGAGCAGAGATTCGTCATTATAGCTTATCTCAGAATCAGATATAAAAACCCCATTCATCTGATCCCCATATAAAAGCCAAAGCTAAAATTCCTCCTGCGGAACATCAGTTTCTCTAGGCTTTGTTTACAGCAGATGTCAAGTCATTTCATTTAACCATGGAGAATTAAATGTTTACGTCAGGCTATTTTGTAGGCTCAGCTTTGCCTCCAGGTTGAATGCAAACATTCCCACATGGATACATTATTTTTGTTTGCTAGAAAGGACGCCTTTTAGGATGTTCTTAAAGTAATTGCTGACCCGAAAAAGAAAATTGTCTCATTATTTACTCACCCCTGTGTCATTTGAATCCTTATTTTAGTTTTTCAAACCTCAAAGTAAACATTTTTGAAGAACTTTCATGGAGCACTTTTCCACACGGAGATATTTTCAAACTTCTTGCTGCAGAAATATGATGGGCAAAAATTTAAAGGAAGCCATAAATTTCAATGTACAGACATGGGACAATTACGTCTTTTAAGTTTTTAAGTGATAAATGGACTGGATAACAACTGAGGGCTTGAGACGAAGAACCATATAAGTCCATATTTTCAAATTTTGAATAATAACATTTTTTTAATTTGGACTCTGAATATTATATTATTATTATATTTTTGACTTGAAGATAGACAACAAAAGCTTCACAATTCTAATGAGATAAGATTTTTTAGTATCAATCTTAAAAATAAAAAGTTAGAGTAATTTACATTTCTGGAATGTGGAAGAACAGTATGTCCAGTTAATGTGGAATAACAGTATAAGTCCAATTCATCATATCACTTTAAACCACTGGAGATTTGATTCCTTTATCTAAGTTTTAATACACTAACAGAACCTTAAAGAAAATATTAAGCATTTCTTTCTTTCAATTTCTTAAATTTTTTTGCCAACGTAAATCACGGACAATACAGTACGAACAATGAACAATACATAGGCCTACTTATAGTACAGAAAACAAACGTCAGTACAAACAATAAACCGTACATACAATCAACAATACATACAAACAATAAACAACAGTAATAACTGTATACAATACACATTTACAATACAGACCATCATCATTCCATGCTATGGTTCCATATGCTAGTTTACCATTTTACAATACATTTCATAAATCACCCCATTCATTCATTTACTAAATAAATAACTATATATTCCTATTATACAACATAAGATAAGAAGCTACAACTACAATTATGATTAATTTTACACAATATACACAATATACCCCACTTTAGCCTGCACATGACCTACACATACCAGGCTACTCTTCGCATTCTAATGCCCCATAAAATGCTTGGGCCTCCGCTGGCATGTAGGCTAGCATTTTCATAAGATCCCGGTGCTTCTCCTTCTTGACGGCCAGAGGGTCCTCATAAGCACGAGCATACGTGGTGGAGAACAAGGGAGCTGGAGGTGGTTGATTCTTCCTCTGTTTGGTGATCAGCCAGGTCTTCCATCCCTCGTAGAGGCTGTGGCTCCCTTTTGTGTGGACACACCATGCGTCAGCAGCTAAAATCATGATTCAACAAGAAATTCAATAAAGATTATTCTTTCACACACATATCCCCAACACTGTTAATCTCAGAAAACCAACTCTTTAGTTTTTTACCTGTCACTTTCAACCACATCATGGATGTGATTAGCAAGCCAGGTGGGCGCTTTAATGTTGCATCAGGGAGCTGCCTGAAGTCCGGACATTTCTCCACGGATCATCTCGGCGACATCGCTGGGGGTGTGGAGTGTGGACACCTTACGCCTCTTGTCCAGCATGGCAAAGGAACGGTCACAGGGAAGGAAGGAGTGACCAGACACCATGAACTTCTGCTCTATCTGACTGAAGTTCCCTCTAAATAGTAATAGTCAGGGGATGATTTTTTTTCCATCTCTAAAACGTGATTGAATTTTACTATCAGTAATCACTCTGGTAGGGTCACGTGTCACGAAGTTCAGCGATTTCCCATCATTTTCTTTGAACACTCATCCACTGGTGGCAAAATGGACAAAGACAGATCTTCGGCGGCGTCGGAGCAGTGCACACAACACATCCATGGCAAATAGGTCTTTCTGTTTTGCTGTTTGTTAAAGCAGTTTTGCTGTTGGGCAGTTATACAGCTATGGTTGTGTAGCTGGGTTTTAAACCAGGTTGGATCTTTATAGACCACTTGATTCAAATGTACATGAATGGACACTCATAGATGTGTACTTCTTTATTTGGGGTGGTAGGAGTGTAAAAAAAAATGTGAAAATGATTATGGCTGTCTTTTTTTGTCAATTCAGTTGTTTAATTTCTATATGTTTTATAACATTCTAAAAGCTCTTAATTGCACAGATACTACTAACTGGTAGATGTCTTCACTAGGTTTCTTCAGAGGCATAAGGTAGGCCTACTGTAAGTATTACACACAACAATGCAACAATAATAAAGCAATGCATTGACATTTACTTTTGATACTTAAGTTTACATTTTAAAAAACGAGTACTTCTGTACTTTTACTTAAGTAAAAATCGGTCTTTACATCTTTTACTTGTAACAGAGTAATATTTGACCACTGACCAGTAGTATCGGTATTTTCACTCAAGTAAGGACGTTGTGTACTTTGTCCACCTCTGAGACTTTGGTTCACTTTTGATAATCTTATATATCACTATGGTTTCCTTTATTTAAATACTGTATGCCATTGTGGTTTTATTATTGCTGCCACTTTGTAATTGTGTGTATAAATATTTACCCAAAAAAAGAGCCAATCTCAAATGGCTTTCTTTCTTCTGTGGAACACAAGAAGATATTTAAAAAAAAAAATGTTTAGTGATTGAAATCAATGGGGTTCAAAATGTTAAAGCTTCACAAAAGACATCAATTTAGTGTGAAATGAATCGATACCACTTGTATATTCTGAAATTACAAGACAAACAGATCAAAATATCTCAAATCAAATCAAAATATTTATCAATGCACAGTTTGCACACATAAACAGACTAATATGGTGACACACACCTTAAACATAAAATAAGTCAAGCCGTTCTTGCACGTCACATGACTAAAATATTTAATGTCATTCATTGTATGGACAAAAACTGTTCAGCTTCAGAATTAGCCTGGTTAAAACCAGACCATTCTCAGTTGTAACTGAGTTATGGTCTGGCAAAGCGTCATAGACAAATCATTTCCAGAGGGGCGTCACCAACGGACGTCGCGGATAGACCTAAAACCAATCAGAGCGATGAAGGAGATGACGTATGCAGAGCGGCGGAGAAACATCTCCGAGTGTTGTTCTTTGCTCGGTTTTTAACAAAAAGGAAACGTTCAAATCGCTTAAAACAGACGCGATAGCTGATTTGAATGAGTGATGTTCGACGGCGGCATCCATCTTTGTAATGTAGGCTACAAAATCTGCTTCAAAATCCCAGCGCCGTCGTCATCGTGTAAAGCCCACGCAAAAAAAAAAATGCGTGTGGCTATAAGTTATATTTGAATGATTCACATTTCAGCGCTAAAGAGACATTTTAAAACAACACACTCACTAGCTCGACAGCTTGCTGAGCATCGATTTCAAACATGCATGGTAATACTAACTGAAAATTCTGACAAGGAATATAAGAAAATGTTTAAATTACCGTGTAAGTTGTAGGTGCAGATGCAGGTCAATGATGCAGGTCTTCGGATGGCAAATGGCGATGTAAAGCAGATGTCCTTCGAACGGGTGTCAGGGAAAAAATAGTGCTTTACAAATGACGTTTGTGAAAAATTGTCATCACAAGTACCCGACTGAAAATTATTTTGAATGCTCGAAAAATGAAAATTAACCTAACTGACAAAACAGTATTTTACTGTCAGATTTTGGACGGTTTTTAACAGCAATTATTTACAGTGTAGGTTTAGGGGCGGAGTCAGGGGTAGATCATTATACGAATTCATATGATTTGGGCAACTCGTAAAATATGTACGATTTAGCAAAAATCGTAAGAATTCGTATGAGTGAGGTCATTTGAATTCGTACGAATTAGTCACCTCACAAAAAGTATTA